GCCTAAGCAGGGAACGCTAGCTGTCAGGGGGGGCAGCAGTGCACCACCATGCACCCTCTATGCATCACCACTGCTTTCAAATTTCAGTAGACATTGGTGTCAAAGAGGAATTAGGATGTAGCGAGGCTGGACAGGGAGGAAAGTATTGCAGGGGAAGCAGCACTGTGAATTTATGTGAAAATCCCTTTTGATCCAGGGAAGCCAAAAATGACATCCTGACCCTTTAGGCTGAGCCAGTACCATGGAGATTTGTTTCACTCTTCAGGAAAACAGCTTGTAACTGTGCTCACCAGCTAGGACATCAGCCTCATCCATAAACTGGGTGCTGAACAGAGTCACTCGACCAGGTTTATGTTCCTTCAGCAGGGTCCACACCTGATGCCTAGAACATGGATCTAGCCCAGCAGTTGGCTCGTCTAGAAGCAAAACCTGAAAGAGAAACAGAGGAAGACACACCTTGCATTATCTCCTCACAATGTTATTGCAAGGCTGGTGTGAGTTGACATTTTTTCATGGTTTCAGCTTCTGCAGCTAAGAAAAAGAATTTCAATTTTTCTTTAAGAAAAGATTCAGGGCATTTGGTTGAAAAATTCGAAAGCATTGCATGAGTGTATCCTAAGACCTTCAAAACCAACTAGGGAAATACAGAGAACATCTGAAGGATTATTAAAAAATATTGGATGGTTTGGATTTTTTAAATACTTTCTGATATTGCATATAAATTCATTTACTATGAAAAATCTTGTGTTATACATACAGATACATACTGATTCTTTGTAGTATGTATCAAAAAAGCAATGCCATTTATGTTTTTCATCTGTATTTTTATAATTTGTTTCTCATTTTAAATTATCCTTCCTGAGAGTAGCCAGTTTGAGCTAAATGTATTATTGATGCTGCCTCCATTCTTTCTTTGTTAAATAGATCCCAGTGAATAGTTCTTGAAGAATGTAGGTATTTTTATATCTTTTTTCCCCTCAGATCACTGATTTCATTTCAGATATTATCTATAAACTTATTGCATGAAAACATACACAAAATACTTGATCTTGCAAAGAATTCCTGTGGCAGGATACCTTTTGGGGCTGCATGCATCACTGGCCCTCCTGCTCATCTAGGGCAGTCTGCCCTTACTCGCCTGCCACACCTTGATATAAATTGATAAAAATGTGGGAGGCTTCCCTAATTGTGGCCCTGGTGTACTGGGTCCAAATACATGGCTCCAAACCTCCCCTACATTGTGCTCCATGCCTTGCAGATGGCATCTGATTACACTGTTTGGCCCCTCACTGGGCCTTCTCCCTCAGGCTCTTCCCTGGGCTTCACTCTAGGGCCTCCTGCCCATCATCTCACTCTGGGCTCCTTGCCCCTATGGCCTCCTTGCCCCTCATCTCATTCAGGGCTCTTTGCCCCTATGGCCTCAGGTCCCTTGCTGGACCTTGGCCTCATTTCAGACCCCACTCGATGGATCTGGACCCTGCTGCAGGCCCCTTCAGTAGGCCTGTGCTTTTCAGTTGGGGTGTGCTCCCCTAGCCTGTCCCCTCCACAGGGTACCTACAAGCCAGTGGGAACTGAGGCTTTCTGGCACCTCATCCTTATCTTTCCTTGGAGCGGCCCACACGTGGCATTTCATGGAGGCTGCCCCACCACAGGCAGCCCCATCACACCAACTGACTCCAGAAGGATTCAGTTTTACCCAGGACCAATGGACTTTCACAGTCCTATCCTCAAGCTCTACCTGGCTCCCTTCTCTCTAGAGCCTGCATGTACTTTGTAGACCTTCCACTCACGCTAACCCCATGTCCACTCCAGGCCTGGTTTTACCTGTCCCTGCCTCTGGGTAGTCCCTGGGACCCCCCTTCATATGGGCAGGGCTGGCCTTGCAGCTCCCAACTCTCACTGATATCCTTCACCCAAGGGATATTCACTCACCTGAGCTTGGCCAGGTGGGGCGCCAGGCCCTCTGCAGCACTGGCCAACCCCTCATGATGGGCACCTTGCCCTTCGGCCCCTCCTGGGCCTTGGCCCGTTTGGGCCAGTTGAAGTAGGCTAACAACCTCAACAACCACCTGCCCTCTCCCTTTCTCATTGAGGCTCTTTATGCTGGCTAAACCAGTGCTCTCTCTGGACCCTTTCCCTATGCATCTCTGCCACCATCAGAGTATCCTCCTACTCCTGCTTTAGTCCCACCGGTGTCTCTAGCCCAGAACTCTTGGGGTTCCTTCTTACTTCCCTGGTAAGGCAGCCTACTCTCTCTTGATGTTCCTCAGGGCTCAGATCTCCCAAGCCCCCTCTCTCAGCCCTGCCTGGGCTGGGGACCCTCATAGGCCTCCTCCTTCCCCAGCTAGCTCCCCCTTTCCTCCAGATGTTCCAGGAGCTGTAGTCATCTGGCTGAGGGATGTTGCTCCTCCGGCTCCCCAGATGTAACTGTCGTCCCTGTTCCCTAGGTCTGAGCTTATATTCTGACTGCCCAGCCCTCCTCCAGTCAGGCAGCCTCCTAGCTATTAGGCGACTAATTGGGCTTGAGCACACCTGCTGGCTACTCCACAACCTGCTTGAATCTCTTAAAGTGATAGGCACTACTAGTGCCCTGCCGCAATTCCATACTTATTTTTAGGTAGTTATGGTAGTTATGGGAATCTTTATAGTTAGTACTTGCATAAATCTTTTGGGATCAGGGCTTTTCCACATATGCTATGGCTGTGCTTGTCTTCTTCCTTTTACCTGTGGATCTCCTAACATGGCAATCCCAAGAGACAATTTTCTTTTTTGCCCGCCACTCAGTTTATCAGCTTGGATGTCCTGAATGCTGGTCATATCCAACAACGTCAAAATATTTTGAACCTACAAAATACATAAAAAGAAATTTCAAGCACCAGTTTGTTTTGGAATCATTCCCCAAATAGGAACTTCTAGGTAGCACTTGTGCATCGCTATTAAAGTTAAACATCATCATGTGTGCCTGCTGGTTTGAGTTCTTTGAAATGTTCCCTCAGACATCAGTGATGCAGCAGAAGCCAGTAAAACTACAGGAATAATCTTCATTGAAGCAAGGAAGCCAACAGTGTGTGTCTGTTGTGAGCTTGCTGAGATTTGTATCCCTAAGAACCTGATGACACACCAAACTTGGTTGTTTCTAAAACTAATTCTTCATCCAATCTAAACTAAGTGGAGTCGGACATCCAACAACAATACAGGCTCTCATATTTAAAACCTGACCATTTCTCAACTACATGGAGATTCAGAATCAGAAGAGTAGGTTCTTATTGCAAAAATAATACAGATACAAGTTGAGCTTTCCCACCTCCCCATCATGATTAAGACCATAATGTTACAATGGAATGTTTCAGGGGAGCTGGTTTTGCCACCATGCTTTGGTAAAAGTAAAATGGTTACAAAGGATTTTTAGAAATGACTAGTAAAGGTGCTGTTGGACATTTAGCAGGATTTTCAAAAGGTGATTCGGTTAGATTTTTTGTTGGCATAAATTTTTCAAACACAATCCAACAAAACTGAGAATGTTATTATATTCTTACCATCTATAGATTTAAAATTCAAGTTTTCATGAGAAAATAATCCAACGCTGCTGCGGAGTCAAGGTTCTTTGCTAATAAACAAATGCTCACCTCACGTTTGGCCTCAGTGGACTGGATCCCTTTGAGTCCAGCAACAATTTGCAAATTTTCTTTCACCGTTAAAACTTCAAACTGAATGTTGAATTGTGGACAGAACCCAATCCTCTCTCTTATTCTCTCTCTGTCTCCTATTTCAGACAAGTGGTAGTTGTATATGGTGGCTGAACCTGGATGAACAAATAAACAGGATAAGATAAAGTGTCCTTTGTCTTTCACCCAAAAATAGTTTGGCAATGAAAATGACTGGTGAGGAGAGGCTGAGGGAACTGGGCTGATTTAGTCTGGAGAAGAGAAGACCAAGGGGGATTTGATAGCAGCCTTCAACTGCCTGCAGGGGGGTTGCAAAGAGGATGGAGCTGGACTGTTCTCAGTGGGGGCAGATGGCAGAACAAGGAGCAATGGGCTCAAGCTGCAGCAAGGGAAGTTTAGGTTGGATATCAGGAAAAACTCTCACTAGGAGGGTAGTAAAGCCCTGGAACAAGTTACCTAGAGTGGTAGTGGCCTCTCCATCCTTGAAAGTTTTTAAGGTCCAGCTCAACAAAGCCTTGGCTGGAATTATTTAGTTGGGGCTGGTCCTACTTCGAGCAGGGGGGTGGACTAAATGACCTCCTGAGGTCCCATCCAACCCTCCTTTTCTACGATTCTCTGATTCTGTCATAGTTGATATCAAGCCCCTGAGTTGATAGTGTATTGTCCTACCATCTGAAGCCTTGATAAATCCACTCAGCACATTTAGCAAAGTAGTTTTTCCAGCTCCACTATGACCCAGCAATGCAGTGATTTGGCCTTCATAAATATTCAAGAACAAACCTAGTTTAAAAAAAAGTTAAAACAAGTGCACTGTTAGGATTCAGTTTTAGAAAGTAAATTACGTTCTATTAGTCTCTGCAGAAAAGAGGATAAGAAGGAAAGAGGGGTATCCAGGGGTCAAACAACGATTCAGGAAATGTTGCTTCTGTCAAAACTGATATAAGCAAAAGCCAGAAATACAGAAACTAAACTTTGGGTTAGTTTTATTGATATTTATGGGATACTGATTTATTTCTTGACTAATATTTTTTTCTGATACTTATTAAAAAGGGAGTACTGCAGTACTGAGGAAAGGAAGAGACAGAATAAGAATAAATTAAAAACATAAATTATTACTCTAAGTGCAGAGAGCAAACTTTGTTAAAGATAGAACAAGTATGCTTTCAAAACTGAACAGAGTACATATCAGTTGTATGAATTAACCTGGCGTGACATATAATTATGCTATTCAACTAATGTCACTTCATTTCTGGAACTAATTTTTCTCATATTTAACAGTGGTTAAATGTCACAGTGAAAATATTTGCATTGTCCCCAAATGTTCATTGTACTAAGCACGGTTAATCATTATGGATAGATCTTTAAAATAAAATAAAACCTGCCTCAGTTTTTTGTAATGAACTTAATTCATTTTCATTTAGGAAAAAAGGATGACAGAACTTTTACCTCTGAGAGCTTCTGCTTTCTGGTCCTTCTTTCCATATATTTTTTTAATATTGTTGAGTCTAAAGGAAGGATATGGAAGCTGTTATTAGGACTAGAGACCAGCAAATTAGTTTCTAGGGGCTGCTTATTTATTCTTAAGGAGTGGATTCTTCACAGTCATTCACAAAGACAGTATAAAAAGTAGCTACCAGTCAGCTATGGTACCGTCCTATACCAACTTTTCATAAATGTAACGGACTACACATGGCACAAGGTGCTTAAAGATCACTCCTTCCATGTATAAAGACTGAATTAATTGCAAGAAATACTGCCGCCTTATCTTTATTCAAATCAGACTGCAGCAATAACGAGTAACCGAAAAGAGTAGCCATCTATTCTTCTCTGCCGCAATTATTTTTCAATAAAGCTTTTATCATGAATTAAGTATGCAAAGGGTCTCAAGTCCTTCATTTTTGACTGGCTTACTCTCACCTGCATTTTAACAGTGCTACATCTAGCTCTGCATTTTTATTTTATGAAATACAGTATTCCTGCAACCATCCCCTGAACGCCACAATTGAGCAGATGAACTAAGTAAAATTGATTGTAAGAGCACAACAGCATGTCAGGGGCCCTGGCCCCCAGGGTAGCAACAGGTTACTTTTGAGTATATCAGTATCTCTACCTGATGGCTTCCTTCCCAACAAAGTCTGGAGGCACTCGCTCCATATTATCGTTAAAGATACGTTCCCGGTTCTGTTCAATCTCAGGTCTCTCACCAGTGTAATCTCTCCTGCTTTTGGACCAGTACGATGATTTCAGGAAGAATAAAGGGGGATATGGTATTCCATATTTGTCTGATCAAGAAGCAGAGGATATAACATTTTAGCTGATCAAGGATTTGTCAAAACCTTATTTATGGCATTGAATATTTTTGATCAGATTTAAAAAAAGAATACTTAGACATCTAACGATGGAGATAGATGCCCAGTGGTATTACAAAAATACTGAAGCACCTACCTTCATTTGATAATCCTACCTATAGGACCATGGCTGCCTTTACATGCCTTATTAACTTTTAAAATTTAGCCACTAGTTCACAACATTGTCGTGCATCTGAATTTACAGCCAACAGAAGACGTACCACATGCCAGAAACTGTACAGCAGAATGGATGGATGCACCAGGCCACAAAGGAGATTCTTTCCCATCTGTTACAAAACTGAGCTCTATATATTATAATAGGCAAAAGAGAGCAAGGCCCTACCTATCAATGCTTCCAGCTCTTCACCATCTCAACGGATGATGCTCTATTGATGCTCTTTCTACTGTTACGATAAAGTAGCCTCTGCTCCACTTATTGTACACCATACACCTCTCCAGCACCTTTGCTAGCTACAAAAGCTCAGTGATAACCCCAGGGTTTGAACCAGCAGACAAACTAACAAGCCAAAAATATCAGAAATGGGGGGGGGGAATCAACATTTCCCATTCAACATTTTTCAACAATAGTTGAAGAATCAACAATTTGGGCCAATATACCGGCCTGAAATGTCTGTCCCTTTCCCTTCTACATAAATTATGGTCTTTCTGCCAGTACATTCATAGCATGACACCAGCCATCTTCCATCTCCCTGGGGAACTGTTCCACAGTTGAATGTGGAGTCTATATAATAAATGTTTCTGATGTTCTCCCTAAAATTTATTTTCCCAGCATTTTTCCATTATCCTGTATATTCATTTCCAGCACTTGTGTTCATGTATGAAAGAGAGGGAGACAGACAGGCAGCTTTAAAACTACACCTGTGTATAAAAAGAAATCTACACAGTCTTATTTATGAGTCTGCTTACCAGGCAAAACTTTGTCAAAATAGATAGCCAGCACCATATACAAAATGGCATCAAGAATCAGTATTATGTAAGTTTTCAATAAAACGTGTGATTCCTCCATCAAGTTAGAAAAAGAGAAACCTATTCCATATTTTTCTAAATGAAAAATCTGCAAGAAAAGACAAAGTCTGAGAATCTTCATGCATGATGAGATTTACACAATACTTTGCATGCCTAGAAATAATTTGTGAAGTCCATCATCACCATAGCTCCCCTCTTGTTCTTTCCTCACTTGAAATAGATTTCTACATTATTTATGATGATACCCAATGATACCAACTGGGTAGATCATACCCAATTCTGGCTTACTCCAACCTAATGCTCTCTATTTACCTAACATAGGACAAATAGACTGCAACAAATTCTTTGGGACAGGAGTTATGCCTCTGTGCTTATGTATCATCTAACAAATGGAGCCGTTGAAAGCTAACACCGTAACAGGTAAATTGTAATCTGCTTGTCAAGAACCTAGCATATGCAGAGAACCAGCTCCTAGTTACAGTTTCCCAAACACTCTTCCATACCTTTGCAAATCCCACATTAAAAGCAAAGGGGCAGAGGAGTCCCAAAGCCCATTCCAAAGGTGCGGGGAGTTTTGTCAGCAGTACAATAAGACTCAGGAATCCAAAGGCGAAGGTGAGGAGGAACCCAACGTTGGCAGTGGTTTTATGTTTCTTTAAGAGGGAACTGAGCAGGAAGATGAAGTGGATCTGTAAAGATACAGGAGCTCTTGGTGAGGCTGTGAATGAAGTGCTCTGAGGTAAGAACAGGTCTGAAGGAGATACTTGAGAGACAGTGGGAGATGCACATGTTCAACCATGACAAGACTAGGGTGCTACCCATCCCGGTTGGAAATACAGGACATCCAGGACACTGCCCCCTTCCTCTTCCCCCCTCCCAAATCAGCGGTGCACTGCAAGAAGAGGCGGAGGTAGAGCAGCGTGCTGTCACAGGCAAGCAGGGCAGCTGTGGTGCTTGCTTGGCTGCCTTCATGGGGCATGGTGCTGCTTCCCTTCCTTGCCAGACTACGCCTCGTGCCCAGGACACACATTTTAATCTGTGGCCCACACCTAGGACTGATGTCCAAAATCCAGGGCTCTCCTGGGAAAAATGGGACAGATGGCCACACTAGACACGACCCATTAACAAAAATGTATGACTCACCTTGCTGTATGCAGTTTAAACAGAAAATTACCCATGGTTATATCCTAGAATCAATACTCAATCATTTTCACTACCTATACAAAAACACCGCAGGGCTCCCTTAAAAAAAAAGTAGTTCTTTTTATTTCAAACTACCCCTTGGTTAAGTTCCTTTTTTGTTCAAATTCTTAATATATGTTATGATTTCAAGTGACTTTTGCTAGCGAAGGAATAGTTTTAAACAAACCACCAGGATCATAATTTCTGTTCTTATGCGGTACTATATACAGTGCACAAAAATGATGAAAAATTAATCTGGCAGTAAGAATGGGGTTAAAGAATGATAGAGGATTAGCTGAGTACACCCAAACAATTTTGAAGAGATCCAAAATATTTCACCTTCAAGCTTAAGGCAATACTGGAAGCAAAATTTAATTCAGCGGGTGTCTTTTCAAAGAAGGACATGGCTAACCATCTTCAACAAGTAATATTTGTATTTGCACTAAGTGTATTTCAACTGAATGGAATTCATCTGAAAAATGTTAGCAGAGATCCTGAATATCATAGTTTCAAACCCTCATTGAATCACATGTGGAATCTGAAAATGTGATTAAATAAGGGTTTTACAATCATGTTCTCATATTCCACATATCTGGCGGCACAGCTGTGTTGCTACCCAGCATGTCCATAGGTGGTGGATAATATAAGGACCTTCAGGTACTGCCAGGACCCAGAGTCAACAGCTGCTTGGGCAGCTGCAGCTGGGGAGACCCTGCTACACGTGCACATTCAACCTGAATAGCAACCAGCTATAAAGTTAGTACACATTGTTGAGGTCTAACTTTATAGCAGTTTGGAGCTTTTCATGGCATGATAAGTATTTTGCACATGTAGCTGGTCTCAAGGAAACTGGTTAACTACACAATGCCTGTAACATGTAGAGGGGCCTTAAGAGATGTCCTCAGCTTAAACAATCGGTCTGACCAAGCAAAGGCTACAGTACCGAGACACCCTCATATCTGCCCTGTAGCTATTAGCAATGTAGGCTATTACTGACATTTTAATGTGAGAGGTAAAGAAATTTATACTCAGACTTACGGATGAGATGCCATAAAGGAAAAACAGAAGCCAGACAGCAGAGAAACTGCTCATGAGGAAAAACTCACTAAAAAAGATAGCTGTCAATGCACAGGACATAATCGAAATATTGATGGCATACAGCAAACTCCAGGAGAGCCTGCAAATGAAAAGATACTATTATGTTCCTGCTTGCTTAATTAATGACTTCATCTTAATTAAGACTTCAACTGTATGGCAAACACCATCTCTTAATTACATTACTTAGGCATTCCATGGGAAAGCCCATTGCTATTCCACCTATGGTTGTTGGCACGATTGACATCAGCAAGGAGTTACCCAGAGAAATGCATCGGATCAGGAACTTATCCTTTCCCTGGGAAAAGGGGGATGAATGGGGACGGACAGAGTTTTCTCCCCATTGGAGGAGGTGTTTGAACCACCCTGCATAGAAAACAGGCTATTCTCAAGCCTCACAGATATCAGAGGATCCTCAGTGTCAGATGGGTTTCTATTACCTTAAGTCTCCTGGGTCTCCCTATGTGATATGGCTAGGAAAAAATGATGTCACCATCTGTGGCTGTACTACAAATCTGCCTGTATTTCCATAGATCTAGTGAGAGACCTCAAACCCACACACTCCCTAAGAAAAGAATCCCAAGCCAGGAAGGGTGAGCTGTCTGGTATATCTTCTTACTATGAAAAGCTCTCCAGCCCCGAGAGTTGGGGATTTTTTTTAGCTATTTTTTAAATAAAAAATTTCAAGGAGAGTCAAAGGTTCAGCTTTTCCTGAGAACAGCTATAAACTGTATTACAGAGTGAGTCTGCATGAACTACTCCAAACAACATACATCGGTCCTTGCTCTGAAGTGACAGCCTCTTTACATTCCCCACACACAGTTCTCAGTCTCCCCATAAAGATTTGCACTAGGGCTGTGCAAAGCTTCAGGTGCTGATTCGATTTGGAGGAGATTTGGCCCAATTAGGTGGCTAAATCTCTGAATCCAAATCGAATCAGGGGACCAATGGAAAGGTCCGAATCGATTCAAAGCTTTCCGAATTTTCAGGAAAGATTTGGAGAGCTTTGGTGATTCGGGCAGTCCCTTGTGGCTGCAGCAGGGAGCTGCAGCCGACTCCAAACTGGTAAGTACCAGGGGTGGGAGAGGGGGGGAGGGAACCATGGGGGGGGACCCCTGCCAGCCCACTCGCCCCCCACTGCTCCCCAAGCCGCCCCCAC